AAGGAACAAACAGGGATTTAGAATGAATATAATTGGTGGAAGGGTGCGGGGAGAATAAAAAAAATTGAATATAATTTTCCTATCATAAAACAACAATGGTTCTGTTTATATGTCTCTTGCTAAACTTAATTCTGTATTGGCTTAAGTGCAAGCTTGATCAGAGATACTAGTAGGGGGACTCTTCCATGAGCTCTGGTCCTGTTGTACAAATTGGTCTCTAATTAAGGAATATTTTTCCCCTAAGGGTTATACACAGAATCTTACTCTATTAATTAGTTTCTGGGCTTTTGTTCCTATGAACTTTGGCCAGCCTTTCACCCCCATCTGCGAACACACTCTGGGAATCCCACACACCCACACTTTCTGGGTGAGGAGGGAGATAAGTGGCTCCTGTTCAGGCTGCATCTGACTTAGCCCTGACCCTCAAGGGTCCTTCCCGGTCCACGTGAACAGAAGGTAAGACTCCTATCCCCAGCCTTCTCCTAACCACAAAAGAAAGTTTCAGTTTCCTGAAAAGTCTTGTACTCCCTCTCATTGAAATCACTTTTCCGTATTGAGATTGGAAGGGAAACGAGAGTGAAAATGTCATAGGGGCCAGAGCTTTTCTACCTTGACTATGTCATTAAGCAACACACTCTACACCATGGAATTTAAGATGCCATCAACTCAAAGACACAGTGTTATTTTACGTCTGATATGGTTTGACTGTGTCCCCACCCAAATTTCATTTTGAATTGTAGCTCTCATAATCCCCACATGTTGTGGGAGAGACTGAGGAAGGTAGTTGAATCATGAGGGTGGGTTTTCTCTGATAGTCTTGCGATAGTGAATAAGTCTCATGAGGCCTGATGGTTTTATAAAGGGGAGTTCCTCTGAACAAGTTCTCTTGCCTGCTGCCATGTAAGATGTGCCTTTGCTCCTCCTTCACCTTCCACCATGATTGTGAGGCCTCCCCAGCCATGTGAAACTGTCAATCCATTAAATCTCTTTTCCTTTATAAATTACTCAGTCCCAGGTATGCCTTTTGTTAGCAGCATGAGAACAGACTCATACAATGTTCCACAGGAAAAAAGAAAGCAGCCAATTAAACTGTGACAATAATTGATTGAAAAAAATGTGCATCCTAGAATCAGTGAAATATGTAGCACAGTGATTACACATACAGGACTTGGAGTCAGGCTGCTTGGGTTTGAATCTCTGCTCTGTTATTTAATGTTTGACTTTGGGCAAGCCATGTAACCCCTGTAACTCAGTTTCCTCATCTGTTGGGATGACTCAGAGTAGAGTTTAGTGGCATGATCATAGCTCACTACAGCCTCAAACTCCTGGGTTCCAGCAATCTTCCTGCCTCAGTCCTCTTGAGTAGCTGGGACTACAGGTGTACCCAGTTAATTTTTTTTTTTTTTTTTTTTTAGAGATGGGGTCTCACTATGTTGCTCAGGCTGGTCTCAAATTCCTGGCCTCAAGTGATCCTGGTGAACATTTTTTATTTTACCACTCTGGAGGTCAGAAATCTAAAACTCAGAATGTCAGCAGGGCTGTGTTCCTTCTGGAGGCTCTAGAGAAGAATCTGTTTCCTTGCTTCATTTTATAGTTTCTAGAGGTTTCTGCATTGCTTGGCTTGTGGCCGCTTCCTCAAATCACTCCAGCCCAGTTTCTTGCTTTTATTGTCACATCTCCAACTCTTCACTCTGATCCTCCTGCCTTTCTTTTATCAGAACCGTTCAGAGTCCTCTGAGTCCACCTGGGTAATTCAGGATAATCTCATCTCAAGATTCCTGACTTAATCATACCTGCAGAGTCACCTTTTTCCATGTAAGGCAACTTTCACAAGTTCCAGGGATAGAATGTGTATATTTTTGAGGGGCCATTATTCAACTTGCCCAGACATGATAAAATTTGTATTACAAAATTTATGGAAGAGGAGAGAATGAAGTAAGGAAGACCAGTTAAGTGATTAATACTCCAGATAAGGGACGATCAGGTCGTAAACCAAGACAGTCACAGTGGGGGGATAAAGGTAGAGTCAGATGGCAGATGTTGGGAGGTAGATTTGTTCTCAAAGCGTTATTCTGAGCGCTAGGATTTCTGACAAGCCCCCAGGTGGTACCCATGCTGCTGGCTCTTGAACAATAACTTGAGTGGGAAGGTCCTGGGGAACACCAGCCTTCAAGGGGTGTCAAGAGGAAGCCAAGGCCAGGTACATTGGCTTATACCTGTAATCCTGGCACATTGGAAGACTGAGGTGGGAGGATCAATTGAGGCCAAGAGTTCAAGACCAGCCTGGGCAACATAATGAGATTGCATCTCTACAAAAAATAGAAAAAAAAAAAATTAGCTGGGCATAGTGGTGCATACCTATAGTCCCAGCTACTCATGAGGCTGAAGCAGGAAGATCGCTTGAGCCCAAGAGTTGTAGGCTGCAACGAGCCGTGATTATACCACTGCACTCCAGCCTGGGCAACAAAGTGAGACCCTATCTTTACAAACAACAACAACCAAAGGAAGATGAAGAAAAAGAAGTAGAGGAGGGGGAGAAGGAAGAGGAAGAAGGAGAAGAAGCAGAAACATAAGAGGCAGAGACCATAGCTTCTGTGTAGAAGTATCCCCAAGATAGGATGGTGTTCTGAAGCCCCCAGGGAAGGAGAGGATTTTAAGGAGAATGTGGTCAAGAGAGGAAAAGGAAGATGCTAAAAACTGTCCAAAAGATTTGGCTACTAAGTCACTGGTGTCCTTAAAGAGAACGGGTTTGGTGGGGTGGTGGGAGCCCAAAGTCTGTACCATTTTGCTCTACCTTCCCTGAATACATTCTGTTCAGCTATATTCATCTAAAAATGTGGGGCTGGGTTACAGAGAGGGGCAGAGGTTCAAGGAACACTCCCTCTTAACTCCAGCAGCAGCTGTGCTGTCACGGGAGCTCAAAGCCATGTCATGTAAGTTTACGGGCCTGTTTGTGGCTCTGAATGTGCTGCCATCTCCACCTGTGAGCTTATTTTGGGACATGCAAACTATTTATTTGCCAAAGTACACAACAGCAGACAGCACGAAATAATGGATCTCATGAATATTCTACACCTGCAACAGCAACTCCAAATGCCTAGCTTAGTGGGCTGAAGGAAGAAGGGCGCTTCAGGTGAAGACTGATGTCCACTTGCCTACTTATTCAGTTTGCTCTTCCAGGGGTTCCGTCAGGCAGAATTATTTTCTTTTGGTGTTATATTTTTTCTTATCTTTTCCACCCTATGCATTAAAAACAGATTGTGTTTTTGTTTGTTTGAGGTGTACACTGACCTAAAGTTATGGAATTGCAATTTGGTCATAAATTATAATCCCATAATTTTAATAGAGGCCATGACTCTAAGAAAACATTAATGATTGATTGCTGGCTTGTCTTGATATTTTCTACTTAGATGTTCTTCTGTCTGTCTACACATCTAGTCTTTTAAAACAGCACGGTTGCACATTTGTTAAGGTATAAGAAGGTCTAACTTGTTCTTTTCTGTATATGACCTACAAAGCAGAAAGGAGATATCTACAGTATTATGGTGAAGATTTGTGCAGGAAAATACTCTGAAAGAGTGAAAATGGAAACTGGAAATCCACTGTCTCTGTTTCTCTACTGTTTTAAAAGGAAACAACCACTTAAAACTGGATTTTCTAAAAGGAAAAAATTAAGTAAAAGTAAAAGCTAATTTTAGTTTAGGTTGTGTTTGTTCATTTGCATATTCCCTTTTGCCCATTGTTGGAATCAGAGAAAAATAACAGTCCTCTAACCTTTTGACTTAAACACAATTTGGTATTTTGGTTGGCTCATCCTTTGATTGTCAAAATTTTCCTTAAAAAACAGAAACAATTTTCTCTACCCACTTTGAGATTGATGTGTTCAGTTCTATTCCACTGCAGTGGCATTTTAAAAAATTTGATTTGACGTCACAATTACACTATCATTAGAACGCTGGATTCAAACAATCATTTCATTTCATTTTATCTGCTTCATAGACGATCACCAAAAAAAATGCACTAGTCATCAAGGCCTTCTTGGTGCTTGTTTTGTCCACCTGGTGTATGGCTGATGACTTTAACAAACAAAGAAAAGTACACTGAGATAAGTAAACGGTCTCTTTGTGATATTTGTATTGCAGCCAGCCTGAAATAGAGAAATGGCAAGAGGAGAGTAGCTGCTACTATTGATTGGAAACAGACAACATTGGACACAGGGTTCTGTGAACTCCATTTGGGCTGGCTCTGTCAGTCCCCATCTCTCTGGGAGGTTGGGGTTATTATTCTCCTTTTCTAGGAGAGAAATCTGAAGCTCAGAGCAGCTAGGTAGACTCTTCCGGGTCACAAATATTGTATATTTCATTGAATATTTGATGTCATTGGTTGTACTGATTTATGTACCATGAAGTAAGAAAGATATACCACCACAATTATAGCACAGTAATTGTTTATTCCTTAGAATTTTTATTGCCTACCTATTGGAAAAGTTTCTTGGCTACGCTCAGTGGTTCATGCCTGTAATCCTAGTACTTTGGGAGGCAGAGGTGGGCGGATCACTTGAGACCAGCCAGGACAACATGGCGAAACCCCATCTCTACAAAAAATACCAAAAATTAGCTAGGTATGGCTGTGCAAGCCTGTAGTCCCAGTACTCCGGAGGCTGAGGTGGGAGGATTGTTTGAGCCTAGGAGGCGGAGGCTGCAGTGAGAAGATTGAGCAACTGCACTCCAGCGTGGATGACAGAGTGAGACCCTGAAAACGTTTTTAAACTTATTTTGGCATGGATTTCTCTCATATACATCTCTTGCGAATATGTAATAAGGCAAGTTGAAATAAATCAGTTATTTACAAAACTTCACAATCGGAGTCTGACTCTTCTAAATTATTTTCCAACTTGGAGTCATCAAGTTTGTGTTTGGCTGCACAGGATCATCCTCTTTGCCAACGAGAGTGCTGGTGATGTAGCATTTCCTAAGAAAGGTCTCCACTCTTATCTCCAGGATTCTCTCCCCAGCCATTGTGGTTTCATGCCTTTGTACAGGCAGTGACAACTAAGGCTGACTGCTGCTGGCTGACAGCGATTGTGGGCTGTAGTATGACTTCAGAAATATTCAAATGTGAGTAAATATATATCTTTAGGTTGAAATTTAGGTCTGTGTATCTCTTAACTCACGCACAGAAAAGAGGCCTGTGCCGTTTCCATTCCCATCATAGCGCAGGAGCAGGTGCTGGGTTTGATCTGAACTCTGACTTCTGCTCCTGACCTTTCACTCACATGTTAATACTACCTATTTTCCCTTTCAAACCTCGGATGGAGGCAGCTTGGTGAACCTTTGGGGGAAAAGGAAAATTCAAAACCAAATGAAGAACTTTCTTTGGTTGTTGCTGTCAAAAACTTCCCTGATGATTTCAGCAGAAGTTCTCTGGAGCAGACAGTTGCACAAACATCTGAATCAAGTGTGTTCTGTCAGAGTCACCAGAGTGTGAAGATTCTGCTGTTTGGTTCTGTGCAAAGAGATTGGTTAAGAAAATTGTGAAGTATCCCAGACGCAGGCGGCTGTCGCTCTGACGAAGCGACTGTATTGAACTTCCTTGGGACACCCGTCTCTGATTGCTGCAGGTATAGCCACTGCTTGTAGCCAGGGTGGGCTGAAAAGTACCACAGTCGGCTGTGGAAAAAAGCCTCATGTCCATAGGTTTTAGAGTGGAATCTGTGTCATCATAACTGAACTGTAGCACATAATTCAGTCTGCTGGGGTGGATGCCCCCTTTGCCTAACACTCAGGAAGCATCACACTAAGAGAAGTCATCTAAGATGCTCATGTTTTGTGCATGAAAGTACATCTGTATATATTTTCCATTTGCTCTTTTCAGTTTTCTTTGAGCATGGGAGTTTGTTTATTTGTTTTATATTTTGGCAGCTAGGGACCAAGATATTTCTTTTCTGTGCTTTCTCCAACTCTTTGTAGAGTTTAACAAGTCAAATACAAAACTCAGGGGAGTTAGTAAGCCTCGTGATGGTATTGTGCATAGCATCACATTATTGATTGGATATACTGCATTGGAATGCTGTAGAAGAGCCCCAGACCAAAAAATTTCAGATGCCTGAAGCTTTGAGCTTTCCAATTAGGCTGAAAGGTTCCCCTGATAACCAGTAGTGCTGAAGCTTTTAATATTGTTTAGCTCTATCAGTTATCAGCAACATTTTCTAGTTATGGAGGCCAGAGGATCACCTGATGTCAGCAAGGTAGCTCATCTAATCTACTTGCCCCCTTTCTAATCAAGTATTCTATCTGGAAGAAAAGAAATTTTCAGTTTAACGTCAGCTGATCATAATTGCGAGCAAGTGCTTCTTTCCCTTCTTCTATGCTATCTCCTCCTGTGCAGTCTATTTTGCATCCAAAGATACATTTGAAAGTCAAAATCCCTTAGAGCTAAATATTCTAAACTGACAGAAGAATTTCTAGTGGCACACCAGCCTAGAGCCATGTTTTTATGAGGACATCACTTTCTATTTCTAAGCTTTACCATGCACTCTTGCTTTCTTAGTGCTGGGAGCCATGCCATATCAGCTTGCCTCCCTCTCAGCTTTTAATGTTTTTTTAATGGAGTCCAGTTTTCCACCTAAGTTATGGCTAGCTTTCTGACAAACCATCAGACACCTAAGTGACCATAATGGAGGTGTCCAGATGTGACATGGCAGAAGGCTATGGCTAACTTTCGTGCCTTTAAACAAAACCATATTATAGCCTTTCATTTTTACCTGGCCACTGGGTTTGCCATAAAGGCAAAAATGGGGTTTAAGAAAACATTTTAAAAATTAATATATGATACGAAGTCTTTTCTTGTAAGCCACAAGCAAAAGCAATCATTTCTAAATCTGCCTGGCATGGTGAGTATGCTGTCTGTACAGTGAAACAGCAGGCAGGAGTGCTGCATGTTTTTCTGAAGCAAAGGATTGCTCAGGTAGCAATGAAGTTAGTTATCTAATGAAATAAGGCAAATGCACTTTGCAGATACCCAGTGGTTTAGAAGAATTTAGGAAAATAATTGTCAATTAAAAATGAATGGCGAATCATTGGAAATGCAAATTCATCAGGGAATGCGGGCATTTCTATGATGAAGGAAGAAATATATCCTCTTGAAAGTCAACACTTTAGATGGCTTTATCTATACAATTTGGAAGACATTTGCAGAGCATTTGGTAATTAAATATGCCCTCAGCTGAGCAATAATGCCTGAGGTTGTCCTGCTGGCAAATAAAAGCTAAGCATTCTTGCTATGCCTGGGTTTTGAATCTCTGCTTGGAATCCTGTGAGTTGTCTGTGATACTGGTTATGAGGTTGTGCAATCTATACAATAATGTGAGTAAATCAATCTTTACTTAAGAAAAAGCAGAATTCATTTTCCTAGCTTCTCAACAACTGGCTCTTCCTTGACAATCAGATTTTAGCTCAACATCTCCACCTATCCAAGGAAGCCTTTCCACCCGTTAGCCCACCCTATCTGACCACGTTCCTTTATTTTTATTTCAGTGATCACTGTCTGAAATGGTTTTCTTCATTTGTTTGCTGGTTTATTGAATGCCTCTGCCAAGGAGAAAATAAAGTCCTTGAGCGCAGGATGTTACCTGTCTCCTTCATGTCTGATTTCCCAGCCCTTGCAAGCAGTGCTGGCACATTGTGGGCTCTTCAATAAGGGAGGTTACATGAATAAATGAATGAATGAATGAATGAATGTATCAATCAATCAATCAATCAATGAAAGAGTGCTGACTAGCATATAGCTCCAGAGGGAGTTATAGAATGTTGGATAGCTCATAGGCTTGGTATAAGATATGGACATACATGGAGCCTAAAATGAAGCCTAATGAGGGCAGGAACTACCTTTATGCCTGAAAAAGATCCCCACAACATCTGATATTTTACACTGTTGGGGGCTTATTAATGAGGATTTCTTGAAGAGGTGACCTGGTGTTGTAATTCCTGCCAGCAAGGATATAGGCATGTACTGGGGGCCACGTTCAGGAATCACAAGCCCACAGTAAGTCACCTGGATTGATGAGGACTGTCCTCTCCAGTGTGGGCAATTCTGTTCACTTGAAATTCCTTGAGCAAAGTCTTTTTCTTAAACAAAGAATAGAAAGGTATTTTGCCATGTGATTAATATTTTCGGTGCTTTCTCTTAAACCAATCCTTGCCTTTACATAGGTTAAAAACTGTTCTTACCAAAAAAGCAGTTTGGCTGATGGAATCTGAGATTCATTAAAAAGATTAGTAACTTAAAAGAAAACAAAACCAAGAAACTTCTTTGAATTTGATGTATTTTATAGGAAGGGGCCTGGTTTGATGTTGCCCAGCTTAACTTTTATCCAAATTGCCCTTGAGGAATGTTTTTTAATCGGATGCATTTTTATCCGTATCTTCTGAAGTGACATTTTTTTCCCTCTTTTTACAGGAGGGTAGAGTAACATGGAAAGCGGAAAGCAGCTTTTATTCACTCCAAGGACAACTAACTGACATACAACGAAGGGCAGAATAAGTCTCTAGGTGCATAGATGAGCCTCAGGGTGTCATGGGTGTGTGTCTTACTTAGGAACCTCTTTAAAAATAATTACCTTGTGATTAGTATCTGATGCTAATGGTATATTTTCATTTAAAAAGTCTGAGGTCTTTATTTTCTGAGACAGCGAATGAACTTCTTTTCACCTTGTTGCTGGCTGTTTTTCCTCCATTGCCTTAATAGAGACTCAGGTTCATAGGCACATACGCTTCCCTGCAAATGGGAAATTTTCTAATAAAACAGTTTTCTCTTTCTATTATAATTCCAGTTGAGTGAAATATAAAATATTTAATAAGCCCCCTTTTTTATTTTTAAGGTATATATTTTCTGGGTGGTATATGCACTTAAAAAAGGAATGAGACTGGGCGTGGTAGCTCATGCCGATAATCTCAGCACTTTGGGAGGCTGAGGCGGGTGAATCATGAGGTCAGGAGTTCCAGATCAGCCTGGCCAATATGATGAAACTCTGTCTCTACTAAAAGTACAAAAATCAGCCAGGTGTGGTCGCATGTTCCTGTATTCCCAGCTACTCAGGAGGCTGAGGCGGAAGAATCACTTGAATCTGGGAGGCAGAGGTTGCAGTGAGCTGAGATTGCGCCACTGCACTCCAGCCTGGGCAATAGAACGAGACTCTGTCTCAAAAAAAAAAAAAAGAATGAACATTTTCTTATAGATTCTATTTAATGCTTCTGTTTAATATGGTTACCAGGGGAAGCCCATCTGGAGGAAGGATTTATAGTTTTAACTAAAATGTGAGAAATGGAGATAGAGACTCACGATAGTGTTCTTTCCAGCCAGAGCTCATTAATACAGTTTTGGTCATGTTCAAAGACTTTTAAAAAATGGATTTGGAGACAATTTTGTGTCCAGTCTTTAATCACTAACCACAGCGTGTTTCTCCCGTCACTTCCGCGATTCCCAGAGGCTCGCATATAATGTATGGATCATGGCAATGGCTGCATTGTGAGGCCCATATAAAAAAATTGTAATCAGTTGCTTTGGTGTCATAAAGTCACAGTCTACAATCTAGTATCAATGTGATAGGATAGGAATTGTCAGGCTATAGTTAGTTATTGGCTTAAAAAAAATAAAGCATCAACAAAATCTGCTTCTAGCAAGAGACATGTATGTTAAAAGACTATTTGAGGAAAAAATGAATGTAAATCCTTCCTTGTTTGAGTGACTTCTAGTAGTTCATATGTTTTCTAAAATAAAAATGTATGGAAAAAGAAGGGCTTTCCATGGAAGTTGGTAGGGCGAATATCTAGGGTCCTCATAAGTTCTGGCTTTCTGGAGTTTGTCATTAAAGTGTGGTTTTATGATTCCTCCAAAAAAGAAAGGGTGGAGGTAAGAGAAGTGAGGACCCAGAACAAGGGAGAGAGGAGGAAGAGGATGGGGAACAGTAATATGGACGCACTGGAGACTCATCTGTAAACTGGGGAGGAAATGGCTCCCATAAGAAGTTTGCATGTAATATTTATCTGATGCATTCATATAACATCTTGACTTAATAAAAGAAAAAGAAAAGAAAAATGAAAGAAGTCTGCAGCAAGACAATAAAAAGTTTCCTCCTCACACCCACAGCCTTAGGGGTTTTTCCTTTGAGCCTCAGAGCTTATCCCACTGAAACTCATCAATTTTTGCCTTTATGCTGGAAATGCCCGAAAACATTTGAAGCTTCACAGCCACCCCTTGGGGTGAGAAGATTTCACAATGCCCGCTGAGCCACACAGCCTGTCCCCAGGGAAGGCCAGAGGGCCAGAGGGTAAGGGAGAGAGGCATTCTTTCTGTTCCTAGGCAGGGATCAAGTACCCTTCCCCTGCCAGTCTGCAAACAAAGAAGTCAACCTCAAAGCTCTTGCCCCAGTGCGTGACCTCGGGGGCCAAAGGCAAAATACTTTATCTCTGGGTCCTAGTGACATAAGCTCCTCAGGCTCTGCAATTGTAGTTTATGATGTGACTAGAAACCTTTGATGGAATGACTATTGCCTTCTATTTCTCTGCCCAGCCATTTATTATTCTATATATTTTTGAGGGCTGTGGGAAACTTTCATAACCAAAGCCTGAGCCAGGCTAAAACTTGTTCTATTTGGAATCTGTAATGAAGTCAAAACATGGCCTGGATTTTCTGAAAGGCTCCTCTGGCCGCCTGTAACAGCCCCAGGGCACAATCAGACAGGGATGGAGAAGGCCTGGGAGCAGATTTTGTTACCAAGAATAGGACAGAACAATGTTTGCCTCCAAAACAGTAGGGCTGCTGTTTACCTTCTCAGCTGGAAGAAGGGAGACATAAATGCATTATTGCACATAAAGTGTAAACACCAGTTCTTTAATTTCTAAATTTTTAGGATTTTATTTTTTCTTAACTCTCCCTAAATAAAAAGTCAGGGAAAATTTTTAGCATAATTGATTTCCTGAATGAAGGAAATAAATTCTTCATTTCAGAAGTTTTGACCCTCTAAAGTGCTGTTACTTTGCCTAAAATGGAAGTATGGATTAGGCAGAATAAAAATTGTAAGACGTTTCCAGGTGATTATGGGGGTTGAGAACACTTCCATCTGTGTGCTGTGTGTGTTGGCAGTGTCATTATTTCAGGGAACTACTAAGAAAAATCCAAGTCTCCCTTTGTTTGGATGTAAAACTTCATCTACTTTTCAGAGGCTCTTCCAAATTATTTACTAGCTCGAGTCTGCTCCCTCAAAAGGAGCCTTAGTGCCTAACAAAAGTGGTAAGTTGTAAAATGTAGGTCCTAATTTTTACTGAAGTCAAAGGTTAATAGTAAAAGGGGGGGGTTGATCCCTCACTGTTTCAAGTTAATGTTTATTTTTCACCATCATTTAAAGAATTTTTCAGGCCCTTTTTTCACTGCTGAAAGCAGAGTAAGAGAACTCAGATTTCATGCCCCAGGGCTTGAATGAGGGAATAAAAACAGCACAACATTTGCATCTATTTAACTGCCTCAGTTCTCAGAGTCCCCTCTCAGTAAGAGGGGGGAAACCGTATCTCTAGGTTAAATGAAGCTTCTCTGAGATATTTGCCGAAAACACAATTCAGAGAAAGATAATCATTGTCAGAAATGACCTAGGAAGTCAAGGCCTTATGATTGAAAACACAAAGCTTAGAAAGGTGCATTCTCTTGCTTCTCTGCCTGCTCGGATATCAATGAACATCAGCTAAAGGTGGCTGAAGAACCAATTTCATGCATCTACTGTATGAGGAAATGAACTGAGCCAAGGGCAAAAATAAAATTATACAAATGTTATTATAGACTAGCCTGCTTCTGTCCTAGTTTAATTCAAATTTTAGTGCTGCAGGCTTTGCTTCTGGCAGTAGCCTTCCTGAATAAATCAACATTTGCTTACATCTAAATTATTAGGGAAGCATGTGACTTTGTTTATTGTATAAATTATACGCAAGGTTAAAGCATTAACTGTTCAACTGGCTTTGTTCAGTCGCCTCCCCAACTCTCCCCCAAATCATCTCTCCCCTAAATAGCAAATAAAAATCTGAAACTACTAATTGTTTTCCGACAAACCAAATAACAAAGCTGCATTATGAACCTGAGGTTATGGATGGAGAGCACTGTTAGGGGTGTGGCAGCAGACAGTCTTGGTGTTGAGGAAAAAGAAAGGTGCTCCGGCCCAAGAAATTGTTCACCTGAGCTCTGATGGGGCTTCTGCACAAAGGGAAATGGTGATCTGGTAAATACTTGGTTAAGTTGATTAAGGCGGCCAACCAAATGGGATAATTTAATACAAAAGGAAAGACAGCCTTTTGGCTAGGATTTCAGTAAGCAAGGAATTTCAAATTATATTGCAATGTTGGACCCAAACACTTTTATTGCCTTTTCTGCTAGGAAGTTAGACACAGGCTGGAAAATGCGCTTCGGAACAACGATTTGTTTTTTGTTTGTTTTTCTCTCTGCACGTCACTGTGAAATGACTCCTGAAAGACCATCCATACGTGTTCGGGAAATAAGCATGGGCTTTGATAACTAGGCAATTTGACTTTCTAAGTGTTTAGACAAGCCGAGTATCAGGTGTGTCCTCCTATGAGAACATCCAATTTAAATAAACATCAAGGGTTCAGAGTAGACAAATCCGAAGGTAATTGTTTGCTTTACAAAAGGTTCTTTCTATAAGGTCATCCACAAGATGCTTCTTTTTATTGACCTTTCCCACGGTAATAATTTGCAAAACTGTAATTAAATTCAATCTTTTCCAAAAATATATGTTTCTTTTTTCTTTTCAAGACTCACTGTAGAAACTCTAGCCTGCAGGTCAGAAGATTTTTGTACAGAATGATCTTTTCCAATCAATTATTTAAATCTAAGGCGTGCTCAAGGGGAGAATCAGTTTCCCATTCAACCACTTAGGATTCTTTGTCTCTGCATCCTCAACTGGGCTTTGAGACCCTGGACAATGATTCTTCTAATCTGGTCAATGGACCACCTGCAAGAATCACTCAGGAGTGGAGCCAGGCGTCTGCTCAGTAATGTGACTGGGCTGCATGTGCACTAACATTTGAGAACTACTTTTGCAGAGTCTAATATGGAAGCAAACTGTGTCATTCTCTCTACTCCCTCCCACGTGCTTTGCGTCATCTCCTAGTCATTGTGTCCTGCAGCCCAGCCCAAACGGCTTCCTAATCCCTGCCCTGCTTTGTGTTGGTCAAGAAGGGGATCTCTAGAGCACACTCAGTGCTAGATCTTGCTAGTCTAGCACTCAGTGCTAGACTCAGTGGTAGATCTTGATTTATATCAGGCGTTTATGAAAAATTGCCACACATAACTATAATTCTTTTTGAAATAACTTATATATAAAATTAAATTGATTTCCGCTCCATCAATATCTGTAAGACATAGCTTTTTAATTTTTTTTTTTTTTTTTGAGGCAGGGTCTCACTTTGGTGCCCAGGCTGGTTACAAACTCCTGCCCTCAAGCTATCCTCCCCCTTCATCCCTCATGGTAGCTGGGACTGTAGGCACATGCCACAACGTCTGACTAATTAAAAAATTATTTTTTGGCCGGGTGCGGTGGCTCATGCCTGTAATTCCTGCACTTTGGGAGGCTGAGGCGGGCGGATCACTTGAGATCAGGAGTTCGAGACCAGCCTGGCCAACGTGATGAAACCCCATCTCTACTAAAAATACAAAAAATTAGCTAGGTGTGGTGGCAGGCACCTATCATTCCAGCTACTTGGGAGGCTGAGGCACAAGAATCACTTGAACCCGGAGGCACAGATTGCAGTGTGCCAACATCATGCCACTGTACTCCAGCCTGGGCAACAGAGCGAGGCCCTGTCTCAAAAAAATAAAAAATTAAAACTAAAAATATTTTTTTTTTAAGGCAGGGTCTCACTCTGCTGCTTAGGCTGATCCCAGACTCCGGGGCTCAGGTGATCCTCCTTGCTCAGTCTCCTAAAGTGCTGGGGTTACAGGTGTGAGGCCCTGTACCCACCCTTAATTAATTAATTAAACAGGAAGCACTGAAACTGTGTCCTTCTTCTCTTTCTCTTGGGGAGGACGAGAGGATCATCAGCGCTAAGTGGCAGTTGCAATAAAGCAACACCCACACCCTGAAAGTACTGTCTTAGAAACAGCTTTTTAATTGCAGCATATCAGAGTGAAAAAAAAAAAAAACAGAGATGTTGGAGTCAGACAATCCTGGTTTCAAATCAGTTTCATTGTTCATCCTCTTGTGATTTTTGGCAAGAAATAGAATGTCTCTGTGTTTAGTTTCCTTGTCTGTGATATGAAATACATTGCAAATATGCTAAGTGTTGAGAAAATAATGAACAATGTGCAAGGAGTATTGGGGATATGTAGCTGCTCAGTAGATAATGATGATGATCAATATTCACCATCGACAAGTAGCTGTGGAATCCACAGATGGTGCCCATAAAAGGTTAACCAGTGAAGTGCTGGGACGCTGTTGCTGAAGAAATATTGGAAGGTTCCTGGTGTGCATAGTTAGATTGGCCTCAGCCTCAGAACTGTTCCCTTCCTACCCAAATCTGGGGCCTGTCTCCTCTTCCAGAGTTCCCTGAGAAAGGAGACAAAGAAAGTATAGGCAGACATCATCGAGGGCAGCTGCTTTCAGATAACTTCTGTAGCTGGTATTTTTTACAGAGACTATGTGTTGGGATACATAAATTTACCTAGAAATTAATGTGATGAAGACTTTATACATGAAATGGGAACTTTGGGATACTGACAACAGATAGGCTAATGATTCTGTAGGTTTTTTGGGGGTTCTTTTTGGTTATTTATTTGCTGTTTTATTTTATTTTATTCTTGAAGAAGTCTTGCTCTGTCACCCAGGCTGGAGTGCAGTGGCGTGATTTCTGCTCACTGCAACCGCCGCCTCCCAAGTTCAAGCAATTCTCCTGCCTCAGCCTCCTGACTAGCTGGGATTACAGGTGCCTGCCACCATGCCTGGCTAATTTTTTGTATTTTTAGTAGAGATGGGGTTTCACCATGTTGGCCAGGCTGGTTTCAAACTCCCGGCCTCAAGTGATCCACCTCGGCCTCCTAAAGTGCTGGGATTATAGGCATGAGCCACTGCACCTGGTCATGATTCTGTGGTATTAATAAAAGTTTTTCCAGTTCCCCAGTTAGGCACCATTGAATGCCGGGAACAATACTGAAGATGACATTTTTCTAGTGAACTAATCTGGCAGAAGATAATAGTAACCTTCCCAGAATGGTGTCTTACCAAGTTGTCGTCCTGCTTGGAGATGTTACACAATCCATTTGCAAGTATGTTTTGTTGCTTAATTATTATATCAAGCCTATGAAGTTGGTTTTATTCTTAGCCCCATGGTCCTGGGAATACTTTGGAAGTGGTTACATCTGAGTCATGGAGAATACCCATCGAATCGCACATTGTGTGGAGTAAGTCTCCATTGGAGAGAGTTACTATTTGCTTTTTAGTATCCATTTACTATTTTTAAGGTAAAATGATACCTTAAGTTCCATCTGGGGACCCACCCTCTCCCACTCTTAGGCCACAGAGTTTAAAAAGCATCACATCCATTCTTAACATTCTCTTTTGTTAGAGGACTTGGGTCATTCATCTACCATGTGACCCAGTCGGAATGAGGCACAAAGAGACTGTTGTTTTTTCCCAAGGGACTTGAACCTGGAAGCAGGTGAGCTGGTGCTACCGTTGCCACCTTGCCACCACAGGTAAATCAAATAAGGCTAGTGAGTGGAGGAACACAGAGCCCACTGACAGGTGAACAGAAAATGGGTCTTGATGACATCATTGGAGCCTAAATGAAACTGTTCCTGAAGAGAGTCCCATCTTGGACTTTTTACCTATGTGAGCCAATAAACTTTCTTCTGCTTTAAGCTACTTTTGGTTGAGTGTTTTTTTGTTTTGTTTTGTTTTTTCATTTTCAACAGAAGAGAATTGATTTGGTCTGGCTGTTTCCCCACCCAAGTCTCATCTTGAATTGTAGTTCCCATAATCCCCACATGCCATGGGAGGGAACTGGTGGCAGCTAATTAAATCATGGGGGCAGTTTCCCCTATACCGTTCTTGTGGATGTGAGTGAGTTCTCTTGAGATCTTACGGTTTTATAAGCATCTGGCATTTCCCCTGCTTGCACTCATTCTCTCTCCTGCCACTGTGTGAAGAGGTGCCTTCTGCCATGATTGTAAATTTCCTGAGGCCTCCCTAGCCCTGCAGAACTGTGAGTCAATTACACGTCTTTCCTTTATAAATTACCCAGTCTTGGGTGTTTCTTCATAGCACCATAAGAACAGACTAATACAAGAGTCCTAACTGGAAAACAATCTCTTTCTCCCCACTCTATGCCATAGTGAACTATAGACAGAGCTTCTCTGTTAGGTGGCTATTTTGCAAACCAAGGACAAAATGGAAGACTGGCGAGTTGTGGGCAGTTTTATGCTCAGAGATAATGTAAAATCTCCCCAACATAGAGGACATTCTGCAGGGATTCTCGTTATAGACTATGATAGTTGTTCTTTCTATCTTAAAATCCTGATTATAGCTGGGCATATAAGTAATTTTTTAAAAAGACATCATCAGACTCTTGTATCTATCATCTTGTATCATAAGGCCAGATTTCTAATTCTGAAATGGCAGAGACATGAGCTAAAAAGATTCTGGATCCTTAGGGACTTCAGAGAGCAAGCCATCTTATAGCCCTGGTTTGCCAATATTTGAATTCTTCCTTGAGAAAGAAATAAACCTCTGTCTTATTTAAGTCACTGTTATTTTGAGTTTTTGTTAGCATCAAGCATAATCCTAATTAAGACTCCCTGATGGCAGTTCCAAGAATATGTTTTACAAGAAATTATTTTCTCAATCTTTCTTAGACTATCCATGAAACTGAAAATGAGTACCGCTAATGTATGTAAAGTCCATATGATGTTGATATATTCTTTCAATATATATTATATAAGCAATTGCAGCAACATCCAAGTTAGATTCAGTGCAAACCAAAGTGACCCAATTCTTCCTATGTGCTGGGTGCTGTGCTAGACCAATGAGATTTGTCAGTGATAAAGGTGTGAATTTATTTTTTCTTTCCTTAATATTTCTTTTATAAAATTCTGTACTCTTTGACTGATAACCCTATTTTTCTCTCCCCCTGGTGCCTGGCAACCACTATTCTATTCTCTGCTTTTATGAATTTGATCATTTTACACTCCTCATGTTAAGTGGTATCATGTAGTATTTGTTCTTCTGTGTCTGGTTTATTTCATTTACCATAATGTCCTCCACGTTCATCCATGTTGTTGCAATTGGCAAGGTTTCCTCTTTTGTTCTTTAAGTCTGAATAGTATTCTAGTGTAGGTATGTACCATATTTTCTTTCTTTCTTTTTTTTTTTATAGACATGGGATTTCACCATGTTGGCCAGGCTGGTCTCGAAGTCCTGACCTCAGGTGATCTGCCCGCCTTGGCCTCCCAAAGTGCTGGGATTACAGGCCTGAGACACCACGTCTGGCCTACCATATTTTCTTTATTGGTTCATCTGATGATGGACATATAGGTTATTTCCATATCTTGGCTATTGGGAATAATGCTGCAATGAACATAGGAGTGAAGGTATCCCTTTGAGATCCTGATTTTCCTTTTTTCAAATATCTACCTACCTAGAAGTGGGGTTGCTGGGCCATATGGTTGTTTCATTTTTATTTATTTATTTATTTTTGAGACAAAATTTTGCTTTGTCACCCAGGCTGGAGTGCAGTGGCATGATCTCAGCTCACTACAACCTCCGCCTCCCAGGTTCAAATGATTCTCCTACCTCAGCCTCCTGAGTAGCTGGGACTACAGGTGTGTACTACTGCACCTGGCTAATTTTTGTATTTTTAGTAGAGACGGGGTTTCACCATGTTGGCCCAGCTCGTCTTGAACTCATGATCTCAGGTGATCCACCCACCTTGGCCTCCCAAAGTGCTGGGGTTACAGCTATGAGCCACCATGCCTGGCCATCATTTTTAATTTTTTGAGGACTCTCTATGCTGTTTTCCAAAGGGACTTACCAATTTGCATTCTCACCAACAATGTACAATGGTTCCCTTATCTCCACATCCTCAATAACAACCTGTTATCTTTTATCTGTTTGTTTTATAATAGTCATACTAACAGATGTGAGGTGATATCTCATTGTGGTTTTGATTTCCATTTCCCTGGTGATTAGTGATATTGGGCTCCTT